GATATGTATTTACTTAACATTTATTAATTTTTTATACGCCTGTTCTACATAGTTTTGTAGTAAGAAAATAGTAGTCATATTTCCTGTTAACATTCTTCTATTTGTATGAAAACAAGTCAATAAAATTTAAGTTTAGTACTCCACTCTACTTACTTAATTAAATTTATAGTTTGCTCAAATATCTTTTTGCTTCGCTGAGATATTACAAAAGTGCTGCGGATAGTACACATGGCCGCTATGTTACTTACATTTCAAAGAGAAAGACTTGTACTTTAACACCTTTTTTGTATTTTTTTCAGGAAAAATTACTCTGGCTTGCATACACAACTTCAAAACTGGGCAAAAGCGGCATTTTTTGCACTTATAGGTTAGAATATCTCAAAATCCTGATGTGATAGAGCAATTCTATGGCCAGATTTGAATTCAACGCACTAAAAACCTTCGGGAAAGTATAGTTTGGTTTCTGGGTAAAAATTTTGTCCGCCTGTGTTATTATTATTTTTTTCATTCTGGAATATTTATGTATTATATATATATATCTACTNGGAAAGTATAGTTTGGTTTCTGGGTAAAAATTTTGTCGGCCTGTGTTATTATTATTTTTTTCATTCTGGAATATTTATGTATTATATATATATATCTACGTCGATCCCTTTAGGCTGTTACAAACAAGCGTTATACGAACAAGGTATAATACCCATGTGCTCAAGTGCGCTTGGGTATAAAAATTTTCAAATATGAAAAAGTTCGGGATTATCGTATCAGAGAACACCATATAACATCAAAAACTAGATTTAAAAAAGGGGCTCATGGAAGGAAAGGGAAAATGTGGGTCTGATATTACGAAAAATGTGTGCATTCAAAGCCAAAACGGTTGCAATACGTAATGAAGTAGAAGAAAGGCAAGCTAGATACCTACTAACAACCGAAATTTTCTTTTTGTCTTTTTCCCAACTAAAATTTTCTAATTTATAAAGGCTATTCCACTGGTTTATCTTATTTTATCATTGCACTTTTGTTTTGAAAATGTGGTTCATTTTATTGCTAAATGGGAATGATTAAAAAGAATGGCACCTCTTTTGGCACTTTTATTTTTCTATTTGGCACTTTTTCATCCTCAATATGGCTAAGGGTAGTTGGCAGCCCTGTCCAAGTGAGCAATTGTTCAGTGCAGCCGGCCTTATATGCGAGCCTCTAAGAAATCGCCTCATGGGATAAAACGCAGCAAAATTACGTTCTTTTTATATAATATGCCCCTTTTGAACTTTGGCTACTGGTTTAAAGCACTGTATAGGTTAAGCACTCGTTCAATATTCTAATAATTTACAAAGTTTTTAAGTAATAAAAACGATGACGTAAGTTGATTATAGCTTCTTTTAATGTTATTTCTAACATTCGCCTTCGCATTAGCGAATGTGAAAAATATGACATTCGAAACATCCCTAGAATTTTTTGTTGTTTCGGATTGAAAATGAGAATGTGTGTGTGAGTTTGTGTTTAAAATTTTAAAATTAAATTCCTTGCAAAAGCCAAGAATTTTAAAAGTACCTCTCAGCGGTTCTTCCTTATTAATTTATTATCATAGGTTTTATTACAAATCGCTCATCATACCATTTTTTTTTTCAAATGGCGTAGAAACGTGGATGAGAAGGCTTTGGGTTCTTGCGGGGGAATTGTTCTGCTCAACATTTATGGCCCTGTTCGCACAAGCGACGGATACCGAAGAAGATGGAATCAGGATTGATACGAGTTTTTAGCGACATGGACATAGTTAAGCGCATAAAAATACAAGGATTGCGCCGTCTTGGGCATGTCCTTCGACTTGGCGCCCATGGGTCGAAGAGGCACCAACGAACAAAATGGCAAGACCATGTACAAGAAGAGAGACCATTGGCGAAGGTGTTTTCAATACTTAAAAAATATCTCTTACAAATCCATTTTATTAGACATAGTCCCGTTTCTCATGTACATAGGTTTTAAAATTTATCTGCTCTTCAAACACATTATTTAGAACAAAACTTCTGTTTAAAGGGCAGATAAATTTTAAAACCTAAATACATGAGAAAACCCCTCTTAGGGCCGTGTTCTCAACCAACCTTTAGTTTACCGGCCACTTTATCGTCTCGATATACGAGTTTTCGTTTTCTCATCAGCGCATTAATTTCTCGAATCGATAAACTGTTGCTCACCCGATGCGACCTTTAAAATTTGGTTTGGTTTTGGTTCATGAGTCAGATATATTAGATATTTCAACCAAGGTTTTGGTTTTTGCTAACAATTCCCCTTGCTTATATTTGCTTATGTTGCATTGCCAACCTTTGAAATTTTATGACGAATGTAGTGAAGTTTCACTCTCGGAAATGTAGTGAAGTTTCACTCTACGGAATAACAAATTTATTTTTACAGGTAAGATAAGATTAAAATTATAGTTTACAAAACTAAAACCTCGCTATTATAATTTCCATTCGTACTTTCATCAGGTATGAAACTTGAGAATAGAAATCGCTGCATCTTTTAGGCGCATCAATATTACATAGTTACATCCCGAGCTAATAAAAGGGAGGTAATAATAATAATAAAAAGAAACAGCGACGAACAATTTATCTGCCCTGTTAGTAAAGGCAACTTTACTGCTTACATTACGGCCCTTAGGGCCGTTTTCTAATGTAAGCAGTAAAGTTGCCTTTACTAACAGGGCAGATAAATTGTTCCTCACTTTAAAGTGTTTTCGTTTTCTTACCTTGCCGGTAAAAATTAATTTGTTATTCCGTATAGTGAAACTTCACTACATTTCCGGGAGTGAAACTTCACTACATTCGTCATAAAATTTTAAAGGTTGGCTATGCAACATAAGCAAATATAGAGCAAGAGGAACTGTTAGCAAAAACCAAAACCTTGGTTGAAATATCTAATATATCTGACTCATGAACCAAAACCAAACCAAAATTTAAAGTTGGGTACAAATTTTAAAGGTTGCATCGGGTGAGCAACAGTTTATCGATTCGAGAAATTAATGCGCTGATGAGAAAACGAAAAGTCGTATATCGAGACGATAAAGTGGCCGGTAAACTAAAGGTTAGATGAGAAAACGGCCCTTAATGCTATTTTTTTTATTGAGTACAATAAATGAAAAGAAAAAAGGAAAAATTAACAATTTTGCTTATGATTATGAATTGCGTACTCGGTACTGTCCGTATACCAGACGGAAAAAATGTTGGCCAAAATTATGAGTCCTGAAGTATAAATGCAAAAACCGGTACGGGTTTACAAAGAATTTTACAACGAAAATGATAATTTTACAAAAGTTATACCCGATCGCTCAACTCGGTATTATAAACATTCATAGCATAGAGATGAATTTCTACTTGGTATTTACCCAAATAAATACCCAAATCGACGGTAAATGTGAACAAATATTTTTAACGTTGTTTCCTGCCATTTCTTGCGCAGTTTTTGCAGATGAGCTCACTTCACATTGCTTGTAGTGTTACTGTTTATTGTAAAACATTACATTTTCTATATTATTTGATGAAAGAATGATAATGTCTGTAAAACCAATACATTTGGCTGCTAGTTTCCTTGACTCTAATAGTCAAGTCAAGGGCAAGATTTAAACCCATCGGAATATCTAATTGCGATGCAGTTAATTTATGATATGGGTACCAATTGGAATATGTGTAAATGTAATGGTGGACCTACCAAACTGTAAAGCTAGAGAGGAGAAAAACGTCTACAGGAGCAAGATGGCGGTTCGTATTTTGACTATTCCATGCACTTCAGCTGCCACTGAATGCTCACTGAGCACTCAAGGTTCCATCCAACCAAAAAACGAAACAGCTTAAGTGCAGATAATGCCGGAAAAGTATATTTTACAGCACATCAATCGAATTTCTTCAATAAAGAAATACGACAAAAGGATACTTCTCTAAAAATTGTACCGGCTGAAAATAGGGTAACCACCTTTTCAGATGCCCAGACCCCGAGATTGAAAAATATAATTATTAGTATTCACTTATGGTGGTTTTCATTAACATTTCTTAACAAAACTTTAACTCAAGCCTGGAAGTTCACAGCCTATGTGAAAACATTCGACGAAACATGACTTTCCTGGGCTAAAGGCACAAAAGTAGCTAGATAAACACATCTGAGAATTTTTTCCAAACTCCGAGAATTTTGTGGCAAACCCTGAGCCCTAAGATTCAAACGGAAACCCCTAAATCTCGGGTTGAAAAATCCAATCTGGCAACCCTAGCTTAGGGTGAAACCATCAATTCGGCATTCAACACCTCATTCTCCTTTAAATTATTTTCGGAATGAAACTGACGATGAAAAATTCAGCACCAGAGACTAAATTATGATTTCGTTCGTATAATATAATGTAATGTTGCAAAAATAAATATATCTATTTAATATAGTTTTTGTGTTAAATTGTTATTTTTCACCTTCCCTGTACTCACTTTTATTTAAAAAATTTATTATAAAATTCATAAACTTTTGCAGAACAATGTATTGATGCTCTAAATTTTCTATGACATAGTTTATACCCACCTTTTTGGTAAATACCAGTATTTTCCCATTTTTACCCAATTTTACCGGGTATTTAACATTTGGGTATTTACCCTTTTGCCATCTCTAGGTATGCACTATACGGCACGGCGCGTTACAATCTCGCACTAAAGGCTTGAATGTACCATGCTACCGTATTGATTTTTACCCAATGCCACCATAGTATAAACGTCTTATATCGTGCGGGATTTTGCCGAACAGTACCGTATATACATTACGAGTATTAAAATTTCTTAAGATGGACTTATAAATATACAACAACAAAAAATTAATTAAACGAAGAATTTCACTTAATGCAATGCCCCTCCAAATGTTTACAAATAAATTGTATCTACCAAAAAAACGAGAAAATTTATGAGCATTGCGACGGGCCTTTTTGGATTCTAAAAGTTTATGCATTTTTGGTGTATGCCTTCTTACTTCTTAGAACTTACCTGCATGATTTGTCCTCCAGTCCGGAAAATCCGGGCATGCCTGAGATGCCATGCGATGTGGGATGATTTGACACGTATGGATACATTTTGCTGGTGGGTATGGCAAATGAAGAGGCAGCGGCGGCTGCGGCTGCTGCTGCGGCAACTGTGCTGGCGGCTGCTGCGGACGCGGCAGCGGCGGCGGCTGATGCGGAGTTGGGTGAGTGGTCGTTGATGCTGCGATGCAGCGAGGAAGATGTGGCCGACGGCGTGGGTGAGCAACTGCTGTCGCCTTTCTGCGAATTAGTTCCGGAAGGTGGTGTGAGCAAGAGTTGTTGTTGTTGTGACAATTGCTGTTGATGCTGGACGCTGTGGCTATGGCCTAGACCGTTTCCGCTTTGAGAACTGACTGCTGCAGCGGCGGCGGCAAGTTTGTTGATGTGCAACTGTTGTTGTTGCTGTTGCAATTGTAATGCCGCTGACAGTGAGTATTGGCTGTGATGCTGCTGCTGTTGCTGTTGCTGCTGGTAGTGGTGGTGGTGCAATTGCTGGTGTTGTTGCTGTGGCGTAAGCGCTCCAAATGTGGTGGATGATGGGGAGGACGAGGAGACTGGTGAGTTGGACGATTGATTCAAATGGCTGCTGTTGATGTTTACGCCGGATGACGAGGGCGACAGTGACGAGGAATGGACGGCAACAGAAGATATGTGATTGCCGTTATTGTGATTGCTGGTGCTAATGCCGTTATTGTTACTGGGGCCACTGCTAAGGCTGTTGACGGACGATGTGGAAGAGGCTGCGGCGGCGGCTAGGGCGGCGGCAACAGCTGCTGATGACGAATTTTGTGACGTTGAAGTTAAATGTGAACTGATAAATGGCTGAAACTGTGGATACTTCGGTAGCATACTATCGAAAACAAATTTTGACATTGCACATTCTTTTGTAGCCTCGAGCCTCTGGTCTCAAAATTTGTTTATGTTTATTGATCGTTCAATGCAGCGATCTCGTTTGCTATTGAATTTCGTGACTCGATATGAGTTCTTTTAAAAATTCTTGATGAGTTTGTTGACTAACGATTTATTTGCGATTAGCGCGGACAGGGTATGTGAGTTTAACGAATTCGAGAATTTCATAAATTAAATAATATTCAAGCCAAATAACGAAAAATAACCTTTAAATGTGTGTAAGAGAACAAATTTTTGCCGACTGTGGATTTCGGGCATTGCGAGATTCACAAATTGCAAATCGGTAAAAGTAAAGCTAGGGTGGATTTATAATTAGTGCCTTAGTTGACTAATATTAAATATAATTATTGTATTTTTTATTGCCATAATTTTTAATAATAATAAGTATTAAGCTGATTTTCGCAGTAAAATTTTTTTCAAATTGATACGAAGGACTTCTGAAAAAATATTTCTAGAGCTAGTATTCAAACTTAAAAATCCTTTAAGCGTAGGCAGGCGGGCATGATTTAACTAATGGTTATGTCACCAAATGTGAACTAAATTACAGACCAAAAATTGTTTTGCAACAGAATAACTATTGTATCCTTTTGAAAGAGGAAATCATGTTGACCATATCCACATATTTCTAAAGAAAGTCTTTATTCGTACCAAAAGGTTGGAGCTTATAGAACTTGAGAGATAAAATGTATTCCTTTCAAAATTATAAATACTTGCTTGTACTTTGCTTTTTTAAAGTTTCAACAAAACTTTCGTTCACTCCTATTTTACAAGAAGGTGAAAAAACAGTTTTATAATGCAAACTAATGCAATTTTCTTTTTCCACTTTGCTAGAGCAGACTCCAAGGTGCCGCTTTCGCAGTAGATTTACATTGTTTTACGGCTGCAATGTATGAATTTGCACTTGATTTTATATGGACAATGGGTAAGTAAGAGGTAACAATTAGCAGTTAGCGTGTGAAACGGCTATTAAGTTTTGAGTCTCAGAAGTACATAATCGTCGAAAAGTTCAAGGTTTTCTTAATTTTTTGTTTACATAAGAGATCTGCGGAAGTTTTGTTGTTCATAAATACTGCTGAAATTTTACAACGCATATTTTACTAAGTATTTAAAAAACTATTTTTTATTAAAATTATTTCGGTATAATTTATAAGAATCATAAAAAATACAGCGAGAAGAATGTTGAGGATCTACATTGAAAGCGTTAAACAAATTTATCAATACACATTTTCCTTTTTAGACAGAAATACTTTAAGCTCGACCCAGAATTACAGCGGTAGACGGTAAAGCGGTCGACGGTAAGTGAACAGCTGAACAGTTGCCGCAGTGATATCTGTCAGAGTGAACACAAATGCGGCGAACGACGGCTTCCGTCAGTTGTCATTTTGATTTGAAAATTATCATTAAAATTAAGTATTTTATAGGTACGTGCGTGTATGTAGATTTAAAATAAAAATGGATGAAAACTTTGCCAAACTTGTGAAACTAATAAAAAATAATACAATCAACACTCAAACAACGTTGCGCCGTCCCGCTGGGCAGAAAAATATAAATAAATTTAAATCAACCGATAACCGTCGGCAGTAAAAACGCTGCCGCCGCAATAATGAGCCATTCCATGAGTTTTAATTTTGACAGCGGTTAACCGACGACGCTTATCGTCGCCCGCTGCAATTCTGGCTAGAGCTTTATAATTTATTTTATTTCAAAACAATTTTCAAAAAAAGAGCTCTATAGAAAATGATTAGGGACACGATATCGAACCGAAAGTATTGAAATAGTACTCATTTAAGGTATCGTCGTAAAAATATCGTACTTAATATCGGGATAAAAAGACTCGATATTCCAAATATCGATACCAAATACACAAAATTAAATCCGAATATTGGTCTCATTTTCTAATAACGAATGAACACTTTGAACTTTAATTAGTGTTTGCTTATGCAGGGGTAAGTGTGCTAAATGACATCATCGAAGGCGCGGGTTGAAATCCCGCCACATGCCAGCCTAAGTTGGTACATATTTGTGCTCTCTAAAGCCCAAATATATCCATATTGCTTTACAAATAAATTCCAAAGTATAGACATATGGTCGTTTCCAGCGGAAAGTCATAGTACGACATAGATTTGCAAAAAATGAAACCGCTAGGTAGGGCTGAAGTCAAAATAAAAAATATACATATTAGACATAAAAATTCATGTTTTATTTGCGCTAGAAAATAGTTTAAAAACGATATTAACAAAAAAACTTTCAATGGTAATTTAAGTAGCGTAACGTTATGTAACGTCACGTGAGATTCTTCGGCTGATATAAAAAATTAGAACAGATTTTTACATTTTGGAACTTGAAAAATTAACTTTCAATATTTAAAATATTACTACAAAATAAATTTCATTTTATATTATTAATCACATTAACTTTGTAATGTACACTTATGATTCGATACGATAGCAGGATTCTGGTTCGATTGAAAACTTTCGAGTAAAAAGTATCGGTATCGAATGGCAAAAATATCGATGTGGTATCGTATCGTATCGAAATTCGTGTTCCTAGAAATGATTCAATATTTTAAATACATCAGGACTCTTTGCGACATCAGGACGCGACTTATTTGCGAATCTAAAAAGAGCAGTTGTTTATAGTGCTTTTTTGTGAAAATATACATATATATATATTTTTTCAAACTTTTTTTAAATTTCGGCCTTAAAAGTGCATAGTTCTTGGGACTGTAAAGTCAAACTGTTGGCGCTGACATTAAAGTGGTCACTTTTTCCAGTAAACAGAAAAACACATGCAATATTTGAAATATTTAGCCGTTCTAATTTTCATTTAAAGTAAGTTAAGTTATTTGATATGTATTGATAAACCACCCTCGGTTGCCGACGGCAACTTTTTCTTTCTTTACCTTTTCCGATAGCAAATGCTGCTGCACAAAACAAAGTTTACCCTTGAGTTTTGCTAAATATCTTTTAATGCTCGAATTTTGGCTTTCATTGAATATCCACGGGACCAAATGACTATTCAGTTATTTTTGTTTTCGATATCTCTCCGGCAATATGCATTCTGACCAAAAAATGTGTATAGATAGCAAACCACGTTCATAAGGACAGGAATGTAGTAGGGAATAAGCTAAAGGAGACGTGGCCACCGCTGTGTGTGAGCCATTGAAAATTATTGTGTTAGTGGAAAATGAATAGGAAGTTTCATGTCGAAACAGTACACTCAGGTACTGGTATCGTTTCGAGAAAAGTTGTTAGTGGAAAGTGTTCACAAAAATAGTAGAGGGATGGATTCAAAAATAAAGACTATTGCTACAGACAGTTGGTAGAAGAGAGACAGAAAAAGAAACAGCAACGACTAAAGGAGAAGTGATATTTCCCTGATCGGGATACAGCTACATACATATCTACATAGGTAGCTGCGGATAATAATATATTTTTACCTTTTTATGGAGGCTTATGTGTATGTATGCCTTTTGATCACGCAATTTTCTATTTAGTAAAGTATTTTAAACTTTAAATATTTATCATTCAATCATTCCTTTGATCAATTTATAATCCTTTTGTTTGCAACAAATTTATTATTATTTTTTGTATTTATTCTTCAAAGGTGTGTTGTTTTTGTTTATATTTCGATGCACAAGTTTCAGTGTTTTCGTATTTAATGGAATGACAATCTTGCCTATTGGCCGTGTCGATAGAACACTGGTTACAAAAACAGAACAAATGCAAAATATGTATATGAAAATCATAAAATGTTTAATCAGCGCAACTTAAACACAAAACACTATCGCTCATTTGTAGCGATCACTTTAGCTCTGTGCCGTCGGCGACTTTTCGAGCTTTAATAAACGCGACGGAGCGGACACTTCTGCACTTTTTGTTTACTACATACATACATATTATGACTATAACTATATTATTATTTTTAATATGTGTTATTGAATTGTTATTTTGTCGTTACTGCTGTTGTGTGTTTTTGGCGTCCTAGGAAAACGACCGACGTGCGTGGAAAAGTAGTATTCCAGATTTAGAGTGTGGATTGTGGAGCTCATAACTTAAGTCAATTCATTGGTCAACTCGGCGTATTAACCAGCCCATAGGTATGAACATATGCATGAACGCATCATTGTGCATTTATGTATCTGTATGCTGTTTTATAAGTTATGTGGCCATTTAAATACAATCTTTAAAAAACTATAAAATTTAAATCAGCGAAAAATGTGTTTACGACAATTGTCCGCATTTTGTCATAGTGCTTGCATCCTTACTTACATATATATGTACATATTTATATACAATCATATATGGATCTACGTATGTACATAAAAGTGTAATGCGTATTTACTTAGATACATATGTATGTATGTATGTACAGGCAAGCACGCATATGTACTACACATGAATTTACCCACAAATGTATATACTAGAATTTATAGGCAAATGTACATACATACATACATATGTATTTATGTACATGGTTTGGTCGTGCGTGAGGAATTTTTATTGCTTTTTTAATTGTTTCTGCTCTCGTTTGGGGTTTTTTCGCTGTTTGCGCAATATACATACGTATGTATAAAAATACATACATATGCATATGTACATGGGCATATATGTATATTAAATTAATTCCAAGCGTACTTTGCTCCGGCGCAAGAGGACTTAAAAAAAAAATAGTCAAAATCGGCTGAGAAAATTTTAGAAAACCATATTTTGACACACGTTTAGAGACGCGCATGTGGATTTTTGACTTATGGTTTTGCTGAGCGAATGTCTAGCTGCCTCTTTGCGCTTTCATTCGCAGGTGACTGCTGATTCTTCTATGGTTGTTGCAGTTGTAAACGCTGTCCCATTGCTGGTGGTGTTTTTTTTTTCTTGTGTGGTTTTTGGTTTTATGGCATGTATGTAATTACAAATGCGTTACTTTTATGACCATTTAATTTTTATGTTTTTTTCAAGTGATCGATAGGTGGTTCTATATTTGGTGGCACGTCGCACCAGTGTTTTTATTTTACATAACATTTGTATGCTTAACTTTTACTTTAAACTGTCGTTAATGTGTTATGGCAGCGCAAACAGTAAATTTACGAGTAGTTCCGCACCGGGAAAGAAAAGCCTAAATGTCTGGCAGAGGCGTTTAATTTTGTTATCACCACGGTACTGCCTTTTGCATGGATTTTGCGCCCCCTGGTGGATAAATAACTCCGCAATAACACTGAGTAGACTCATTTCCGATTGTGTGGGCGATAGTATTTATTAAGACTAATCACTGTTTTTTAATTGGCATTTTAGGTTCACTTTCAAATAAATATTTTATTTTACTTTTTATTATTTATAATATATTATTTTAGTGTCGCCGCTGTGGAGCGCAACTTTAAGATTTTTAGCTTTTTGGCGCGCGTATAACCCGCTCTGCGCCGGTTTCGTGGCTGTGTTGGTCGATTAGTAAGTTTGCCAGTTTATACATAGCTACTCCAGAGAAGAATTTACAACTTCTACTTACACACAATCAGCAGAACAAACAAAATGTGCAACACGCGACACTGAGGCAAAACGGCCACATAACAATGAAATAACATAAAAAATAACAATAATAATAATAGTAGTACGTAATAATATTGTACAAAAATAGTAGGTATGTATGTATGCATGTATCATCAGCGTAGCGCGTTCAACGTACGATATATGGTGTATGGCGAATGGCGTATGGCGTTTGACGATTGTCGCTCGTATTGAAGTAATAATCACAAACAGTTAAAAGACAATAAGACGCGAAATTTCGCTTTCACGGCACTCGCTCGTACACTTTGAAATCGACTTGGAATCGTTGGTTAGCTGATATTTTTGTATACGCTTGGCTACGCTTCTGTTCGTCGGGTATACACAGGCAGCGCAAACACAAAACACTAAACGCTCCGCAGACACTACTGCGCTCTACGATAATAAATATTATAATAAAACGAAATTTTTAAAAGAGTATAAAAATTCGTGTAATTGGTAATATCTGCGCCTTTGTACGCGCTATGACTGTGCACACGTTTGCGGCAGCAGCGACGTTGCAGCGACTGCGACGACGAAAACATCGGCAGCTATATAGGAAATAAGTGTGGCGACGCCACTGCGACACCGTGGTGCTCAAGTGTGGTGTCTCTACTACATTGGTGCTCCGCCTGACCAGCCTCATATTCACGCCACTGAGCAGCGGCGATACGGGCCCAGACAGAGAAGGCGGCCCATTTAAAGGAAACAAAACGAAGCGTAAATGAGTCGAGTCGAGAGATTATTTGTCAAGTTGCTCATTTAACTGATTGGAACTGGGTTTGATCGAATATGGGGAGGGAGTGGCAGATAAGAGGAGAGTCTGAACAGGAGGTCTAATTGGAATTATTTGCAGTTCGTCTGAGTGGAAAAAGAGTTGAGTTTTTGAGGATAAAACTGCTAGATTAAATGGTGCGAGAGCAGAATTTTACGAGTAAATCGGATTGCAGAGAGCAATGTACTTTATACATGAAGCTCACAACCTCACACCACTGATAAGCAGCACAGAGCCACTTTAAGTACCTACGCTTTTATAGTCTCAGTAAGATTTATTAGTACTGGTGTTTATGGCATATTAGGATTCATAAAAATGTATTCTTATTCTGCGAAGATAAGCAATTTTCTTAAAAAATTTAATAACTAACAAAAGCAATAGTACAAACTCATTCAGGTATCTATGTGCATACATATGTATGCTTGCATAAGTAGTCTCCCCTAACCTATATTCATCCATTTAATTGCTCGCATCGATACCATAAGTCTTCAGCCTTGCCTCCCTCTTCTGGGTTGCAGCACCCAGACCAGATGTCTCTTTCACAACACGCAAACCAAAACAAACAAACCACAATTTCACACTCAGCAGCCATAGCGTTGCTTCGTTGTCGTACGTTATACGCGACGCCTTGCTTTGCAGCGCTGCTCATCCCTGCGTAAGGCGCGATTCTCGCTGACTCATTCACTCTGCTATAATTCTTACGAATTCCAACTGCACTGCCCAAGCTCTTCTGTTTCGCTTTCGCACACCGACCTGTACCTTCGAATGGCTGCGGCTTCCGTCCAAGCACACATGATTTCTCGACGGCACATATGTATGTTATTGCGCTAGTGAAAATGATGACTGCCACGACAGTTTCTTGTTTTTGAGTGGAATCGCACTCAGGCTTAGCTTTTAGTGCTCTTGGCGAATCTTCGAGCAGTTGGACCGGTCATCAGAAAAGAGCGCTTGCTCTCTGAGACTAGCTTCAGATGAGTTTACAGAGCTTTCTTATTTCTCTCAATCAGGTAGACATTTAGTAGCTTTGTAGTACATAGTTTCTTTATTTATTTACTAAGTGTTCTATGGATACTTTATTTTCAGCTTAATAGCGTGAAAATGGGTACTGAAAGCAGAAAGAACTCTGTAAGTACGTTTTCGTTTGAGTGCTTCTTGCTGATGTAGACAGAAGAAGATGAGTGCGATTTAGTTGAGGCAGCACATTTGTGTCTGAGTGAGCAAAAAAAAAAAACAGCTTAAACATCTGATTTGAATATGATATGAACTTCATATCNAAAAAAAAAAAACAGCTTAAACATCTGATTTGAATATGATATGAACTGATATGAAGTTTGGATAAATAGCATATAATTTTATTTTTGAGTAATTGCATTTGAATAATTGCAATAAAATGTAAATAACATAGCCATTGGCTGGTATCCCATACATATCTACATGCCAATCAAACTAGTCAAGTATTGAACACAATGCTCGCATGCAAAGTTGTTAAAAAAAAAAACATTTTTAGATACTATGTAGGCATATCTGAGGTCCGAAATGTATTTTCGCTGACTAAGGTCTTTCAAAGGCTTCATCCTTAGGGCCAGTATGCGTCTCTCAAGAAAAGCAAAAACTCCATATAAAATGACGTACACGAAATGGCTAAGAAATTTTCTTGAGTGAAATTCGCTGCAGACAGTACGCAGTTCTTAAGAAATTTGCTACGCTTTCTACTACGGTTTTCTAAAGTATTTTGTGAAAAAAGAGCACAATGCAACCCATCCTCGCAACAGAAATATATGCCCGTTTCATTATTTTTTGAGAAAAGAGCGAGGCAACAGGCTGGTGAAGTATCAGTTGTCAAAACTCCTGGACACACACGAAATAATGGCAATTTTTTTCTTTACCGTTTTCTTAAGAGCTGCATACCAGCCTTTAGGTAGGTAGGTGGATGTGGTTGTCGCTGCTACGCAGGAACGACTAAGAGCTTTCACTCCCCCTTGCTAAACCATTTTGAATCCTCGACGAAACTCGTCAAGCGCCTAGGGTTTAAATATCCGTATTTGTCAAGGTCACTAAAGAAAGTAGACCCCAGATAGCGCAATCCGCTTCTCGATAATGCCGGGCAGTTACAGAGAAGGTGGAGACCTTGCAACTTTTGCAGCATCTTCATATGGTAAGACACTCCGAGCATGGTTGCCGCGATTGGCAACTTTCTACCAAAATTGGTAACTTTTAGACCGTTTGGTAACTTGGTAACTTTTGTTTAACTTTGGTAACTTTTGCAACCAAACATCTGTTTGCATTACTAGAAAGAAATTAATTATGTTGTGCATGTGAGTAATTAAAAAAGCCTTCGAGTTTCAGTGGTGGAACTACTGACACTTTTACAAACCTATCGATTTACTTTGATAAAACTAGAGTTATCTCATATTTGAATACCGGAAATATTTTGAGTTACAATGGCAGCACTGCTGGCTACACTTCTAAAAAAAAATATCGAATTTTGGAGGTAAAGTTTGAATTCTACCATTTCACATTTTAATACTGGAAAAATTAGCCCGTCAATATACATACCCAGAGGGGAAAATCCCTAGTTCTGAACTGGTGCGTTTCTAGTACATTTAGACCCAGTACTGGTTCGCGATAAATCTCTTTTGCATGCAAGCAACTGGCGAATTTAACATGGCGATGTCCTAGGAAGTGTCAATTGCGGGGCACCGAAATTGCGCATATGGAAACTGTGCATTTAGACATTATTTCGGTTTCAACCGAAACTGTGCATGTATGCTTTATTTCGGTTTTT